TCAGCCGGGCCGCCAGCCGATCACGTGCTAGATCAGCTGTCAGAGGCCGCTTCCGATAGAACGTTGCCAATGAGTGTGGTTTGTAGAATGGGGCCCAGGGGGTAATGCTGCGGCACGTTTCGGCTCGTTTGGGCCAACGGGACCCTGCGGGCAGCGGGTCGGGAAGGGAGGGCAGGTGGATCCTGCGGTGGGGATGCCGCATCAGCATGGACAATCTTGACGCATTGCGTATCCCCATCAGCCCATGTATTCCCTCAGAGCAGCAAGAGGTGTGACCCGCTATTTCATGCTGGAAAGTAGACGACCCCGAATGTGAATAGGTGTTGCGATCCCTCACAGCTGCTAATGGAATGCCCCGCTTTTTTTCACGTCACGAGTGGCACACTACTGCACTAATGCCCCACCAATGGCCCCGCTATTAGCCGACTCATGGATTTGGCCCCCTAATGACCCGCTCATGGCCCACTAATGATTTACCTATTTTGTGGAACCCACTTATCGCCCACTGAGGCTATTCGAGCGGCTCAACTCTCATCTTTGTCTCGGGTTATCGCGATTGCAGGGATCATTAGATCAGGCGGCCACTACCGTGCCACTAGCCAACCCCAAAGCCTCTGTGAGGCGAGGGACGTCGTCGCAGATATTGAGTGCAATCTGCGTACAATCATGCGGCCATTCGCGGGCCACTAGCCAAGTCCAAAAGCACCGCGAGGCGGGGCCTTCCGCGAGATTCGGACGCGATCCCCAAGCGAGCTGCTCTGACCACGGCCGCGCACCTGCTCCCAGCGACCAAGAAAAGGAGAAGACTCCCCAGTCACATTCCTATTCCCCGTCGCAGGCCCGGCACCTCCCCGCGACAAAGGTGGTCGACGCCCGGGGGATCGGCACGAACGAAATGGTTATGAAAAGACTGGGTACGTAGACCGGCAGCACCTCTGGTTCATGTTGAGCAGGACTCGCTGCTGGTGTTGGCCGCGGGCGTTGTCCATTTGAGGCATCAGACCGCCTAGCCAACAGAGGCAGCTTTCGGAATTGGCCTGCATGTTCTGTTAGGAATTGTACAATTGTTTTCTGTATCCATCTCGGCCGTGCCAAGGGGACCTCTCCATTGGAATCAGGGGATTTGTGGATCATGGTGCCCTCGCCATCCTGGAGGCCATCTTGAGCTGTCTCGGGCCATCCTGGAGCCACATTTGCCTGAGCGATCCCGCTCACTCGTTTCCCCCCGCGCCCCCGTCCAGACACGGCGGAGGGGCTAGGTGGAGGGGGCAGGTGGAGTGGAAGATCTAGCTCCGTAAACCACTCGCGTTCCACGCGGATGCTCGAGAACCGATCTGGTAACGTGGTGCTGATGAGGGGGAGCAGGAGCAGGAGCACGAGGCAAAGGGTGACGATCGGGATGAGGCAGGGCATGAGAAGGGCGTTAACGAAGAGGAGGACGAGGAGAAGGGTACGCAACACGTAGTGGAAGATCGACTTGAACGACGCAAACAACGCGGTCGATTGCGCTGACATCCGCGCGTAAATTCCCCGCATAAGGTCGCGCTTAAGCGTAATCCCTGAACATGTGGGTGGTTCCGTCGGAGGCATCTTCAAAACAGACACGCCATCCCTGGGAAAGTACGGCCCTCGTAGCTGAGGTCCACTCCCAGAGGATCATAAGGGGATACTGACATTGCTTATCAACCGAGAGGTGGGGGAGATGGTCGCCTACAGTCATGTGATCGTTTCACTATGTTCGCACTCGCCTGCCAGTGGCAAGACTCTAACATTTGGCACTCAGCTGTACTCGGTGAGACGCCTCGCTGTGATGCCCCAGAAGCGTAGCCCCTTGTATGGGTAAAGCAACCTGCCTCCCCGACGGACTGAGAACAGAGTTCCCGCTGTCGCCATCTAGGGCGCCGCCCAGAAACCGAGACTCTCTTAGGTAATGCCGTCCACCCCTTCAGTGAAAGCACTGCTACCATCGATATTGGAGGGCATTCTTCGTCGAGGTTTGAAAATCGTAAGGTGCCTCCTGGGGTCTGGGTAATGCTGTCCTCCCCTGCAGTGAAAGCACTGCGATCATTGATCTCGGAGGGCACTCTTCGTCGATGCTTTAAAATCGTAAGGTGCCTCCTGGGGCCATCGGGGGATGCGACATCTCGGTGGGGCACCTGCTGGCAGGCCGATTTTTTATTCGATGAGCCTACCCTATGACCTTCGCTTTCCCATTCGCACCTTCTTCTGTAGGCCGACTGGCCTCCCGCGGGGGCGATACGAGGCTGTCTCCCGATTTCCTCGCGTCGGTGGAGAGGCGCGAAGAACTCCACGTGTCGACCATTGGGGCCCCTTGCCTCTCAGGACCCTCTCGGGGCCCTCGCGGAGCCCCTCTTGGAGCTGTCTCGGCGCCCCCTTCGGTCGTTGGGGGGGTCTAGGGATGACCATTCTGGTTCCATCTCGGATGCCACCGATCGAGCCAGGCGGCGTCTACAATAAGTAGCCTCTCTTTGGCGGAGCTCTCGGGGTGATCTTGAGAACCTTTGGGGCAATCTGAGCCTCTTTTGCACTTTGCTGGGCAATCTTAGGACATGCCAATTCGAAGCGAAAGGGCGAGAAGACCATCATTAGAATCGCACCTGTAGTGGGAGGATTTTGTCTCATTGGAGCGGTCTTGGCAGGAACTCGTGGCCATACAGCGGAATGTCGGATCTCATTTTGGTCCAATTGGCTAATTTTGCGCCATCTTGGAGGCCATCACAGGGTGTCTAGGGCTATCTGAGAGAGCCATGCTGGACATCCAAACGGACCCTGTGACACCTCGCCCCCCCGCGCCCCCCCTGCTGCTCCGGATCCCTGGGGAGGTAGTACGGGGAGGTGTGGCCCGTCTCCCGTAGGAGAAGAAGGGGGTCGGAAGCGGGAGCCTTGAGCCGGGGGTCAGTGCAAACGGGGGTCAGACAGAGTGCCGGATCTTGCAGGATCTTGCAAAGTCTTGGACGCATTGACCCGGGCTTGCGTGCAGGCAGGACTTTGCAGCAAGATCCTGCAGAGCCCGACTGACCCGGGTTGGATTGACCCAGGTCAGTAGATCCCCGATTGAAGTTGATTCCCCATACCACCTACGCCTTGGTGGGACTATTTTTAGTATCGTTTGACCGACACCTATCCCCATCCCCATCCCCATCCAGAGCCCCACCATGTGATCATCCCAGTTGGGGATGTACCCCTCGAAACCCGAAGGACACAGCCTATATCCCCATCTAAGGGGGTAATCGGCCAGTGGGGCCCAGTCCACGTTTTTACGGATAGGGGTCGGTGAAACGATGCTCAGATTTCTCGCTCCTTCGTGTCGTCGTCAGCTCGTGGGTTCGCGCCATCCGCGTGCAGTATAACGTATCTGATCTTGACCGCCCTGTTGATTATCCATTGCCTTACGGTGTCCGCTAGGCGTTTGCGCAGGCAATCCGCCCACTGTTTTCACCTCCAGCGTGGTGGAGCACTCGCGCGTCAGTAAATGTCTTCCGCGGTGGAGCACCCGCGTGCCGCAAACGTGTAATGTCTCTCGGCTACGGACACACGCACTGCACGAGTCAGGCAGGCTTAGAATGTGGGCACTTCGCTCCAGAGCTCGATCTGAAATTCAACGGCGCCTGGTACACCCTCCAGACCCGCCAGCTTTCAAAGATTCTAGCTGTATCCTCCTTGTCCGAATTTATCCCCATCCTGCCGTCGGCTCAACGAGCGCATATAACTATGTTGCATGCGGGCGGGATCCCTCGGGTCCTGGATCGGGCGGGGCCAGGACAGGCACAAACCGTTCCGGAGCGTTCGGAACGCTCTCGGAGCACTGAGCAACGGTCTGAGCAGGCCGCGGCACCCGATACATCTTTCCGAAGCGCCGGATGGCAGAGGTCCCCGATTATCCTTGTCCGATTCTGTCCCCGCCAGGGGCGCGAAGATATGAACGGCCCTTTCTCGTGGGGGCGGAACAGATTCGTATCCGCGGCCTGCAGGCTGTTCCGCTAGGCCGCGGCCCCCCGCGGATACGGGGCGTCTTGTGCGGTGATGCCCCGCACGGAAAGTAGCCGTGCGACCAGCCCCGTAGTCGTTTTGTGCGTCCACGGGATCGCGCCTTGGAATCCAGACTGCGAGGATGCGGACACGGATCTGTTCGCCTCTCGTGAGTTTGGACACCCCCGGGAACGCGAAGATAAGCGCCCTTATAAGGGAGGGTAACCCGTCAGATCAGATGATGGTGAGGCCCCCTCTTTCCTTCTGGCTCAAGGAGTATTTGGCCCGAGTGTTCATATGTGTTTCGTTTCTGTCGCAACTGCTAATGGAATGCCCTTGTTCTTTCTCGCCCCACAAGCAATTGACCCACTTATACCGCATCGATGGCCCGCTATTGCCGCGGTAATGGCCCACTGAAAGCCCCGCTGGTGGCCAAGCTAATGGCCCACTCATGAATTTGGGCCCACAAGTGGCCCATTGATGAATTTGACCCAGTGATGGTCCACTAATGACCTGTCAACGACTCTCTGACCAACAAGTGGGCCACAATGACTTTCGAATGGCCCGCTTATGATCATTCTCTCGAGTAGTCGCGATTGCAGATGTCATTGGTGCCAATCAGGTGGTCATTCGCGTACCAGTAACCAGGTCCAAAGGTTCTGTGAGGCGGGGCCGTTGTCGTAAATAAGACGGTCATTAGTGTATAACCAACCATTCGCTGAATAGCGGGCCATTTGTCGATGTTTCAAAGGTGTTGTGAGGCGGTTCCTTTTACCACCCCTCGCGCGTCGCGATTTGGGCCAGAGGGCCGCCTTTCCCAAGGGGCCGCCGCGAGGGCGCGACGATAGTAGCGCGTGGCTCAGCGCGGGACGCGATGCGCGTCGTTGTATGGATCAGAGTCAGAGGAGGCAAATAGAAGGAGGGAGAGCGGGGCGGGGGAGCAGCGGGGGTACGAAGGCGGGCGCGAACGCGCCACTGGGAAGGCGGTCTGTTGATGCATCGCCGTGCGTGCTCAAGAGCAGTTGTTCTACACCCGCCTTTGACAAGCCGCTTCGAGCAAAGCAATGCCTTCGCCCACCTTGCGCCAGCTGTCGCACAAGGCGACGCCGCAGGGTGTCGACGCCCAAGGATCAGTGGAGTGGCGAATGTTATTGTTCAGTCTGGGGTCGCCTGCACGGGCGCGCGGCTAATGCTCGCGCTTCGCGACCTGGGTCGGCGAGCTGGTCTCTTCCAGGCGGCTGGCGCAAGAGCGCAAGCCGTCGAAATTGGGTGTTTTAGGTGATCGCCATTGGATTTTGTTTTGGCGGGGGCTCGCTGCATCTAGTGGCAATCGTGCAGGGCATCTACTTTCTGTGCCCCTCCTGGCTGCAACCAAGTCGTGCTGGTTCTGGCAGGGGGCCGCTGCGCGCTGTAGAAGGGCCCGCCTTCTCCTCGGGTGCCGAGGGAACCGTCGGGTGGAGGGATTGCAACCATTCGGGCAGAGTTGGTAGAGATCTTCATGGCCAGTCGCCCTCATATACATCGGCTGCCTGTTTCAGGCTGGCCTAGCATGAAGATGAATGAGCCCAGAGCGTTCTGGATCGCTCTCGACGCGTTCCAGAACGGTCTTGGATTGGCCTCGGCTCCCGATGCGTCCTTCAGACCCGCCGAGCCTCAGAGATTTCCGATGTGTCATCACCCCGATTTCTGTCAGGGGCAACCTTCGGGAGGGATATGCTCAGGGGGGTGGATGCATCGACCCTCAATCGCCCACTCATCGCCGAAGTGGACCCAGGAAGCTGCGGAGGCGACACCGAGGGTATTCCGCCGATCTATCGGTGACTCTAGCGCGGTGTTCCCCCTCCCCCTCCGAGCCCGCCCCCTCGACGTTTCCCCTCAGTGTGCTCATCCTCCATTCGTCCTGCCGTTGTCCCCGTCCCACTCCAGCACTGCCTCGTCTCTGCCGTGATCAGCGGCCGTGGCGTGGGGCGCCCCTCCTCCTTGGGCGCAGAGGGAGTGCAAGAGCAGACGCAGAGGTCGAGTCGGGCCATCAGACCTGCTCCATGCGCTGCGGCTGAGGCGGCTTGGCCTCCTCCGTGAGCCTTTTTGCCCTTCTGCTGAAACGAGGGGACAAACCAGGAGAAGGACAAGGAGGCTCAAAGAGGAGGTCAAGCCGCCTCAACCACAGCACGTGGAGCTGACCCCCTCGTCGTCGCTGTCCCTTTTCTCCTCCTGGCGCCCTCCTTTCTTCCTCTCCCTCCTCCTCCTGAAGCCAGGCTGAACATGGCTGCCAGCAGGTATGATCGAACAGTCGCCTTCGGCGTGCTCTCGTGGGGTTGCCCGTTTGGACGGATGACCGGCGCCTCGCCTCGCCTCGCTTCCTCGTCCTCTTGCGCTCTCCTTTCTCCTCCCCGAAGGACGCTCTGAGGGGCTGCTGTTGTACAGTCGGGGCCCTGAAGAAGGAACCCTTTTCGTTGGGGAGGGGCTCCGCGTTCCTTAAGTTTTTCACAGCTTGCCTCAGGTTTTCCGATGTTCTCGATAGGAAATCGAAGTTGAACTTCTGGAAGAAAGAGGCCTCGTTCCTTATTTAGGGTTCCTTAGGTCAACGCCCCGACTGTAGCAGATTTGGCCTTCACCTCCCGCTTCCTCTTTGCCCGAGCTTCTCGTCCGCCGCTCGAGCACCATGCTTGCGCCTGCGCGTCAGCGTGTTGAGTGGGCACGCACCTCTGCGACGGGATCTTTTCGATGGGGCTCACGGAACGCTCTTCTTTGTTGATTCGCATGCGCCACTTGAATTGATCTCATGATTAATCCGTAAGGGCTTCGCCCCCTGCCGCCGGCCCCCCCTCTCGGAAAATGGGCGATGCAAGAGCTAAACCATGAGGCCTCGGCGCCGCCATGAAGCAGCATCGGCAAGAGAAATTAAGATTCTGATGATATCGTTGAACTCAGTGTTGCATTTTGAACCTGCCCCCGTATGCTGTGCACTGAGGTTGCCAACAGAATTTCGGACACGTGGCAAATCCTATGGTTTTTTCGACCCTGACCCTGCTGATCTGCGTGAGGGGTGCCGCCGAATTTCAGAAATGTAGCAAATCCCATTGGTTTTTCGACCCTGACCCCGCCGATCTGCGTGAGGGGGGCCGCCGAATTTCAGAAATGTGGCAACTCCCGCAATTTTTTTCGACCCTGACTCCGCCGATCTGCGTGAGGGGTGCCGCCGAATTGTGTGGCAAATCTCACTGATTTTCCAACCCTGACCCCGCCGATCTGCGTGAGGGGTGTCACCGAATTTCAGAAATGTGGCAAATCCCTTGTGTTTTTGGACCCTGACCCCGCCGATCTGCGTGAGAGGTGCCATGGAATTTAAAACATGTTGCAAATCCCAATGGTTTTTCGACCCTGACCCCGCCGATCTGCGTGAGGGGTGCCAGCGAATTTCAGAAATGTGGCAAATACCATTGTTTTTTGTCCACCCTCTCCCCGCCGATCTGCGTGAGGGGTGCGGCCGAATTTTTAGAAATGTGGCGAATCCCATAATTTGTTCGACCCTGACTCCGCCGATCTGCGTGAGGGGTGCCGCCGAATTTACAAATGTGGCAAATGCTTTGTACTTTTCGACCCTGACCCCGCCGATCTGCGTGAGGAATGCCGCCGAATTTGAAATGTTGCAAATTCCATGTGTTTTCCGACCCTGACCCCGCCGATCCGCGTGAGGGGTGTCAATTCCCCCCCCCCAGAAATTCTGAGACCCCTCCCAAGAGACGCTAACCAGGTTGATTTTCGGCTCCCTCCCTCGCGCGTTCTACAACAAGGAACAGTAAGCAGCATTAAGCAATACTGTAACAGAGGAAACTGGAAACTGGAACTGGTGCAGGGAACAGCAAACCCTCGTCCTACAGCCTGGTGGCCCCACGGGGGCCGGCGGATCCCATACCTCTGTGTAAAGCATGTCTTTTCGGAGGGCGTCCACCACAAATCTGCACCGATTCTGGCGGGACCAGTCCCGGGAGCAGGACTGGTGTATGCGCTGTCCTGGCTAACCCAGGAGGGCGTATTACGCACTGAGGCTGAGCCCAGGATGGACCTGGGCTGTACTGGCGTGGGTGCTTTGTTGGTGCCCCCCCAAAGCTTTCTTCCCCTTCTTCGGGGGGGCAGAGGACAGGAGGGGAGGAAGAGGAAAGGAGGAGGAAGAGGAGGAGGAGGAAGAGGAGGAGGAGGAGGAGGAGGAGGAGGGGGAGGAGGAGGAGGAGGGGTGGGGAGGGGGAGGGGATGGGATGGCTTTCAAGCCTCAGGAGAGGAGGAAAAGGAGCAGGAAGAGGAGGAAGGTGGCAGAGGAGGCTCGCGAATGCGGGGGGGGGGAGGGGAAATGAGAAGGAAGAGGAGGGAGGAAGGTTCTTGAAGCTTCATGGGCATTTCAGGGGGTCCGAAGGAGGTCCAGCGGGACAGGAGGACGAAGCGGAGGAGGGGGGGAGGAGGAGGGGGAGGAGGAGGGTGAGGAGGAGGAGGAGGAGGAGGAGGAGGAGGCGGAGATTCCTCCTCCCCCTTGGATAGCCTATCACTTCTACCGTCTTACATCTATCCCCCAAGAGCGGGCGACCCCTGGAGCGGTGCTCCAGGGGTCGCCTGGCTTTAGTTTGATCACCCCCCCAGGGCCGACCGGCCCTGGTGTGGGAGGGCGGCAATCGAGGATTTCTCACGCCATCAGGAATCAGGAATCAGGAAGAGGAGTGCCCCCCTCCTGCAGTGGTAGTCGCGTCTTTCTCGGACGCCACCCTGACCTTGTCTTGCCTCTTCGACTCGCATGGTGGGAGCTCTGCCGTCACTGTTTCTTCTCTCTCGCTCTCTTTCAGGATAAATGTCTTTGATGAAGGATGGTGCCAGGCGCGCGTATGCCTGCTTCCCCGTGCATGTCTGTGCGCGAGCGCCCTGGCGCTGCGGACTGACCATCGCCCTCATGGCATGCCAAAGCAGCAACAAACAGAGGAGGATGAGGATCCCATGAGTCCTGAGCTCGTCCGACGCGTGTGCATGCTTCATTGGTTGTTCTGGCCACTGTGAATTGTTCCAGAGGTTGCTGCTCGCTCGCCCACCGCGCCTGCTCGGGGCACGCTGCAGAGGCAGAGGTGTCGCGCGCGGCGGCCCGGGAGGTCTCCAGAGGCCTCCGTGGGCCTGCAGAGGCCTCCCCAGGGGACCGATGCTCGTGGGCAACAGACGTGTCCGTATCCGCGGCCTCGGGGGCGGGGCCCTTGGACCGCGACCCCGCGGACACGGGGCGGTGCTTCGCGGACGCTCCGCGCGGCACGCACCCGCGCGACCGCGTATATCCGCGGCACCGCGCCCCTGAATCCAGACCGCGAGGGCGCGGATACGGATATGTTCGCTTGTCGTGGGGAGACGTCAGGGGACGCCAATCCTGGATACTCCCCCCTTCCCTCCCCCTCGCGCGGGTTGGGGAGCACAGCGGTGCGATCCCAAGGAGGCGTATCTGGCACCGTATCTGGTGGCGACGCGGGTATGCCCGCTACCAGCAGCGACGACCCGTTCATGATGGGGGAGCAGACGTCGATCACGACCGCGGGCGCAGCCGAGGCTGGGCCTGGAGCCGAAGAGGGGGAGCGAGGCAGGAATTCGAGGAACAAAGGTCATACATGTAAACTTTCGGAGGTCAGCATGGATTTCCTGGATCTGCGCCAGGCCCCGCTTGCGGCGCCTCCAGCGCTGCCCCTGGCGCGTTCCGCGCGCCAGGGAGGGGGAGGCAGCACCGATGCAAGTCTCCGCGTGGACGTCCGAAACTTTCTGTTTATGCCGTTTCTCCTTCCTTTAGTAATTCCGTCAGGGATTCCACGGATCAGGAGGCGGGGATGATCCAGGTCGGACGAGAGGGTGGGACACTGGCATAGAGCGGTGTCTGGTAGGTTCGCGTCGTGTCGACCGGCGGCGACCACGCCGCCGGCGTTCAACGTTGAACGCCGCTGGCGACCCAGAATCGGTCGATGTTCAAACATCTGACGTTTCGGACAAGGCCGAT